AGTGTCTGTGGGAGAGCCTGTTTTTACTCTGATCCCTGGGGTAGTGTCTCATCTCTGTCCTAATTACACTTCGTGTGTCTCTGTTGAGGTCTCTTAAAGCATTCTCTTGGAGACATTTGCCTTTCCTGCTCCAGGTGGTCTCCTGTAGGATGTGATTCTCACCAATTTTGCATTGCTAGTACTTAGTCCAGTGTCTAGCATGCAGTCACGGCTTGGTGTTTATCAGATTAAATGAATGAATGAATTGTGAGTTTGGAGGGGAAAGGAGAAGCAGGGGAAATAGGAACGTGACTTTTTTTTTCTTTTTGAAACAGGGTTCATGCTGGCCTTGAGCTCATTTTGTAGCCCAGGCTGGCCTCGAACTCCCAGCAATCCTCCTGCCTCAGCCTCCGGAGTGCTACCACCACGCCCGGCTAGGAATGTGACTTGTGTTAGTAGTTAGGTGTGAGATGACGGAAGACCCCATGTGGTGATCAGTCCTTGGATTCCTTTGTTATCTCTTCATCACACGCTGTCTTGTGTTTTTTGGTCCATTCAGCAAACTTTTTTTTTTTTTTTTTGGTTTTATCCTGTAGCAGGAATGGAACTCACAACCTTGCGCTTGCCAGGCAGGTGCTGTGCCGCTGAGCTAAATCCCCAGCTCCTCAGCAAACTTTTCTTAATCAACTGCTGTGTATATCTGTCTTGTTGGACCAGATGATAGATTAACCAAAGCATTCACAGTTCTTTTTTTTTTTGGTTTTTCTCCGGTACTGGGAACCGAACTCACGACCTTGCGCTTGCCAGGCAGGTGCTTTTGCCGCTGAGTTAAATCCCCAGCCCCTTGAGCTAAATCCCCAGCCCCGCATTCACAGTTCTTGATGTTGGAAAATTCTCTTGTCTAGGGGAGTTAAATAATTCAAATCCAACATTATTGCTATTACTATTACATATTTATTCGTTGGTGCTTGGTATTAAACCTTGCCCATGTGTTTACCACTGAGCTACACAACCCCAGCCAAAGTAGAAATTTTTAAAATGTATTTTTATATGTTTTCTGTACATAATAATTACTTTCACTGTGGGGAATTGGTACAGTGTACATAACACAACTTAATTCTCTTTTTACTTCCCTTTCAGACTTTTTTTTTGGTTGTTTTTTCTTTTTTTTTGGTTTTTCTCCGGTACCAGGAACCTAACTCAAGACCTTGTGCTTGCCAGGCAGGCACTTTGCCGCTGAGCTAAATCCCCAGCCCCTCAGACTTTTTTTTTTGAGACAGGGTCTTGTGTAGCCTCTGGCTGGCCTTGAACTCTTAGTCCAAGCTGGCTTTAAATTTGAGCTCTTCCTGCCTCAGCCTTCTAAGTACTAGGATTATGGGTATGAACCACAGCACCTGGCCTTTTTGTTTTACAAGACTGAGGATCAAACCCAGATCTCTGCCTTAGCAAGTGCTGCATAACTGAGCCCGGAGTCATCTCCCCCTCCTCTCTCCTCCTTTCTTCCTCCCTCTTCCCTCCCTCTCCCTCTCTCCCTCCTCCTCCTTCCCTTTTTCTCTCATTGTATTTATTAGTACTAGGGATTGAGACTAGGACTTTCTTATTCAGGTATATCCCCAATCGTATTTTTTTTTTTTTTTTTGGACTGGGAATCGAACTTGGGACCTTGCACTTGCCAGGCAGGCGCTTGTGCCACTGAGCTATATCCCCGGCCCCTCAATCCTATTGTTTGATTTTTTTTTTTTTTTTTTGTCTTTTTGAGACAGGGTCTTCCTATGCAGTTCAGGCTGACCTTGGGCTCATTTTGTAGCCCAGGCTGGTCTCGAACTTGCAAGAATCCAACTGCCTCAGCCTCCCAAGTGCTGGGATTACAGGCCTGTGCTACCATGCGTGGCTGATTTTTATTTTGAAACATGGTCTTCCTAAGTCACTGAGTTGTCCAGGCTGGCCTCAAACATGAGATCTTGCTTTGGTCTTCCAGAGTGCTGGGATTACAGGCGTGCACCACTGTGCCTGGTTTAAAAACTTTGAGTCCACTGCTCAAATACTGTTGCCCACTCCTTAGTAAACCATTCAGCTTTTTTTTTTTTTTTTTGGTCTTTTTGAGACAGGGTCTCACTATACAGTCCAGGCTGACCTTGAGCTCACTTTGTAGCCCAAGCTGGCCTCGAACTTGCAATGATCTTCCTGCCTCAGCTTCCCAAGTGCTGGGATTACAGGTGTGCTCTACCACAACTGGCCCCATTCGGCTTTTGAGCTCATCAGGCGATAATCTGGAGATGAGATTAGTGCCTCATGATCCAGTTACCTAGAGCCCCCACTTCTAAACATTGCTGCTTTGGGATCAAGCTTTCAACCCTAATCCTTTTAGAGACATGTTAGATCCAAACCAGAAAGGGTATATTTGATACTTGTATACAGTGGTAAATTGATTTTTAAAAAATTCTTAAGTATTTATGTTGAATTTTATTGAATTTTGTTCTGTGGCTTTTTGTTGAGATAGGGTTTTTCTATGTAGTTCAGGTTGGCCTTGAACTCAACTTTATAGCCCAGACTGGCCTCAAACTCAAAAGAGATCCTCCTGCCTCAGCCTCCAAGTGCTGGAATTATAGGCATGCACCACCATACCTGCTTAACTCTCTTGATGAACACATAATTTTTCTCTTTCTTTTCTTGCAGTTCTGGGGATTGAACTCAGGGCCTTCTCACTTGAGCTACATTCCTAGCCTCCCCTCTTTATTAAGGTTGTTTTGTTTTTGTTTTTGAGACATGGTCTTAGTATGTAGTTCAGGCTGGCCTTAAACTTACTGGCCTTAAACTTACTTACCCAGGCTAGCCTCGAACTCAAGCCTATTCTCCTGCCTCAGCCTTCCCAGTGCTGGGATTACAGATGTGCACTACCACAACTGGCCTTTTAAAAATTTTTTTGAGACAGGGTCTTATTAAGCTTTCTAGCCTGTCTTCATAATTGCAGACTTCTTACAAGAGTCTCCCAGAGAGATGGGATCATAGGTTTGTGTCATCTCACTGAGTTGATTAATCCTTTTTTATTGTTGGATTATACTTGGAGAGATTTATTTATATCTCCAGTTTTGATTAGAAATTAATAACTTGATTTTTCATAATACGTTTTTTGTTAGAATTATTAAATCTTCCTGGTGAGTTTTGTTTGCTAATTTGTTGCGACAAGAGTCTTTATATTGCCCAGGCCGGTATCCAACTCATGAGCTCAAGTATCTTCCTGTTTCAGCCTCTCAGAATGCTTCAGTTGGAAACATGAACCATCATGCTAGGTTTACATGAATTTTTTTCTTGCTAGGTTTCTTTCCCAATTAAAGTCATTTGGGAGATATACCAAGCCTTACTTCCTATGAGAACAATTTTGTAAAAGTGCTTTGTATGACAAAGACATGACATATATATTATTTTTCATTGCATATTAACTTCATTGATATTTAAAACTGGTATACAGCTGCTTGCAAACAAGTCAGCCATTCCTTAGGAACTTGAAACTGTTGGTTTGCAGGGGTGGGATTTGATAACAATCTGCCTGCATGTGGCTATTCTTCTAGTATCATTGGTTATTCTTTGTTTTTATATTTTGTTTGTTTGTTTGTTTTGTTTTTCTCTGGTACTGGGAATCAAACTCATGACCTCACGCTTGCCAGGCAGGCGCTGTGCCACTGAGCTAAATTCCCAGCTCCTGTTGTTACATTTTCTGGTGAGGTCAAAATTGTCCTGCTTTAGTTTCCTAAGTAGCTGGATTACCGGGTATGTGATTCTTCCTGATCTTAAGTAGTACTAACACATGAGATTTTTTTACTTGAATTAATGACACACTTCTAGGAAGAATAATAATTTATAACCTTTGAGAACAGTGGAGTGGGACTTGAGCCACTGTCTGACTGAGCAGGCTTTAGGAAAACACCAGTGCTGTGGAAATCTGTTTGTAGTGCTTAGTTAGGGTTGCACTTGTTTTCCAGACGTTCTGTGTTCGTACTACAGTTTGCTTGGATGGAAGACAAGCAAAGACAGGCTGGAAAGCTTTTCTTTATGTACTCAACCTACAACTGTAGTTGAGAAAGTTACAGCTTAGATGTTGTGTTAGCTAATGCTATGGTGAAATTCCTGCAATAATTAAGGTTTCTGTAAACAACACTGAAGCTCATGATTTAGTATATTTGATCTGATAGGCTGAGAAGACCACCCCCTGTCTAAAGGAAAATTTTGGATGCCAAGAAATATTTCTGGAATCTTGAAGAAAGGCTACCCCAGGAATATCAAAAAACTTCTTAAAAGATGACAAACTGCATGTGGCTACATTTTTTTTTAAACCTCATTCTTCTCTTGTTGGGGAGTTTAATCTAAGAATGTAATTGGAAATTCACAAAAATATTACATATTTATAAAAACCAAAAATTGAAACAGTAACTCATATGGTAGTGCATGCCTGTGATCCCAGCACCCTGGCATATAACTCAGTGTAAAGGTTCCAGATATAATCCCCAGTATTGTTTTTTTTTTTTTTTTTAAATCTTTGGTAAACAAAAGGAGAGTTTTTGTTTTTATATGATAGAATAATGTTCAGTCACTAAAAGTCATGTTTTTGAAAAGTACTGAAAAGAGCTTGATATTCAGGTGAGGGTACAAGATTTAAAATTACAGTATTACATTCCTAATAGTTTAAAACCCATTAAATATGTATTAATAAATGCAGTGAGTGAAGGAAATAGATCAACTCATCTTTGGGTGACTTTTGTTAGTTTTCATTGCTTTTCTAGTATTATTATTTTCTTTAATAAAAGACTTTAGTCTTCTGTTTATGAAAAATACCACAGTAGAGCTGTTTTTTCCTTAAGCCATTTGCCTTAGGAGATGAATATACATACATTCTTTATAATGTCTTACTAATGTCCTTTTAGAAGTTTTCAAGTTCTTTCATGTGTTCTCAGTAGTTGCATATTTTAGGAAATTTAATCAGTCAGTAATATGTCTTATTTGGCTGTTTTTACTCATTACCACAGGGTAGAATCCTATACAAAGTTCGATGGAAAGGATATACATCAGACGATGATACCTGGGAGCCCGAGGTTCATCTGGAGGACTGTAAAGAAGTTCTTCTTGAATTTAGGAAGAAAGTTGCAGAAAACAAAGCTAAAGCAGTCAAGAAGGATATTCAGGTATTATGTGTTACCTTGTATCTTTTTTTCTGGCTTTAGGTACATAAGTTTTTCATAAGTTTTCTGATATAAAATATTTGTAGTAAACAGTTTACAGGTAATACTGTTCTTTAGTGTAAATTTCATGTAGGTAATTTATTCTCATAGACTATTGTCAGTGATTGTTGAATTCTTTATGTACTCAACCTACAACTGTAGTTGAGAAAGAATTACAGCTTAGATGTTGTGTTAGTCAGCTAACGCTATAGTGAAATTCCTGCAATAATTAACTTATAAAATGAACATAATTTATTTTGGGTTATGGCTCTGTAAGTTGCAGTCCAAAGTTGAGCAGACTCTTTGCTCTGTGCCTCTAGCGGGGGCTCTGATGTTGATTCTGGGAAGTGTGTGTTGGACCAGGCTTCACTCCCTCATGATCCAGGAAACAGACAGGAAGAGACAAGGCCCCATCACACACCCTAAGGTTCCAGCTCCTAAAGGTTCCACCACCCCAGTAGTGCCACTTTGGTGACCAAGCCTTTATTTAACACATGGGCCTGTGGGAGGCATTCCAGACCCAAATAGAAGACATGGATGTTAACCATTATTTTCTTTGAGTCAGTTGGGGCTGGGGATGTAACTCACAGGTAAAATACTTGCCTAGCACAGTCAGGCCCTAGGTTTAATCCCAGCATTGCAAAAAAGGTAACAAAAATGAAAAAGTCCTAATTTCACTTGTTCATCCATGGTATGAACAGCCCATTTTTGTGTAGATAAGCCTCAATTTTTTTTTTTTTTAATTTTGTCTGTAATCAAGAAACAGATTCTTGCTTTTAATTTAAGGACTGAACATCAGTGGACACTACGTAGTTCAGGCTGTCCTTGAACTCACAGTGATCCTTCTGCCTCGGCCTTCTGAGTACGGGGATTACAGATGTATGCCACCATGCGCAGTTTATTGCCTCAATTTTGTATTTTTTCTGCTTTACACAGCGTTACTATTACAGCTACAACACATCCATTTAAATTTAATTTCTTTGATTTTTTTTTTTTAAGACAGAGTCTTGTTATGTAGCCCAGGCTGGCCCCTCCTGCCTCATGCTCACACACATCCATGCTTGTGTTCTTTACATATTAATTTAACTTTTTGTGCTATTTAAATTAGAGCAGATGATGAGGGGGCAGCACTGGGGATCACACCCAGAGCCTCATGTGTGTTAGGGAAGTACTTTACCACTAAACAAATAACTTGAGCTGTTTAGATCACTATTTTGTTTGTGGGTTTTTTGGTGGTACCTGGGATTGAACCCAAGTTGTTCACACTGAACTGTGTCCCCCTTCTTATTTTTTAAGATAGGATCTTGTGAAGTTGCCCACCATAGGCTCAAACTTCAGATCCTTCTACCTCAACCTCCTAGAATGCTAGGATTCCAGGCTTGCATCATAATGCCCACCTTTGTTTAGATCACTTTTGTTTTTGACCTTTTTGAGACCGGGTTTCACTATGCAGTTCAGGCTGGCCTCAAACTCACAGTGATCCTCCTGCCTCAGCCTCCTAAGCTCTGGGATTACAATTATGTGCCACCACACCTGGCTAGATCACTTTTTACAGTAACAAATTTTAAGCTGGGCATAGTGGCACACACCCATAATCTTAGTGGTCTGGGGAACTGAGTTAGGAGGATTGCAATTTTGAGCCCAGCCTGGGCAGGTTAGGATTTTAGCAAGACCCTGTCTCAAAAAATAAAAAGGGTTTTGGAAACACCTTAGTGTCACAGTGCTCATGGGTTCCCCACCCCGCAAAAAACCCCACAAAACTAACCCATTTCAGAGTGTTTACAGGGTAATTGTCTATGTTCTGTTTTCTATACACTCTTCAGTTTTTAGCTCAGTGTTTTATAGTAGCTCTTTTTTTTTTTTTTTAATTGTATTTTAAAGAGAAAAAGAAAAAATACAAAATTTCAGAACAAGGTAATAGGAGATTAACTTTGGTTAAAACTCTTGATACAGACAAGAATGAAAAGATAGTCTCACCCAAGTTAAGCTTCTGTCCTTAGCAGCTCAGAAAAAGGTTGGAATAGGGGCTACAGTGGGATATATTAAGCTAATGTGCAGATTTGGTTTTAGGGATTTACCCATTGTTTTGTCTTTGATTCACCAATTACATGAGTAATTGCGTTACTTTAATTATGAATCTTTGCTGTGTTTGGTTTAATCTGGTAGAGACAGGATCTCACTATGTAGTCCAAGCTGGCCTTGAACTCACTATAGCCCAGTCTGGCCTCAAACTCAAGGTGGTGCTCCTACCTCAGCCTCCCAAATACTGGGATTACAGGTGTACACCACTATTTCCTGGCCTTAATTATGAATCTTGGGAGAATTTCCCCATTTACCTTTTCCAAATTTCATACATATTTTGTTTACAAATTCAAACAAATATGCTCACATTTTGCTTTCTCCTTTAGGATTTTTTCTCCTGTATGTTCTTGGATGTAGAACTATAGTGATGATTTTTCTATAATCAAGAAAGTGATTCTTGCTTATAATTAAAGGACTGAACATTAGTGGATAACCTTTTTCCCTTCAATTTGCATTTGAATCACTTCTGGGGAGAGAGGAAGGCTGTCTCTGTGTAGCTCAGGCTGGCCCTGAACTCACCATCCTCCTTACTCATCACTGTGCTTGGTTTTAAATCACATTTTTAAGAATACTTAATGATTTTTTAAATGGCCAAAATAGCTAATGGTGCATACCTATAATCCCAGCACTCCGGAAAGCTGAGGCAGGAAAATTGTATCTAGTGGTTAATGATAGTAATAGCAGTACCAGAAGCAGCTGGTGGTGACTGAACAGGTAATCTTCGTGCCAGACACTGGGTCAGTGAAGTAAGATGGGAAACTGAGGCTTAGGTAAATTGAGTAACTAGCCCACTTTCACTGAGCTGGGCAACTGTGCTCTTTACACTGTGTTAGGTCACCTTTTAGTTTGGGTAGTGGCTTGAAATCTAGTCAGAAAAGTGGAATTGGTGGTTTTTAAAATTTATTACCTGGCCATGGTGGAGCGTACGTACCTGTAACCCCAGTACTCAGAGGAAGCTGAGACAAGGTAATTGCTACAAATTTGAGGCCAGCCTGGACTACATAAAGAGTGTAAGACCAGCCTGAAATCCATTGTAGACACTGTCTCAAAAAAAAAAAAAGAAAAGAAAAGAAATTTTATACTATGGTGACAGGGCCCTAGTATGGGTTTTGAGTTGTCAAGCAAAATGCTCAGTACTTTTACCACTTTTGCAAAAGAAACTCTTTTAAAAATAAGTTCAAATTAAAACCGACTTTTTTTTTTCTTCTTTCTTTTTTCTTTTTTCTTTTTTTTTTTGTCTTTCTGCGGCAGGGTCTCACCATGCAGTTCAGGCTGGCCTTGAGCTCACTTTGTAGCCCAGGCCGATCTCGAACTCACAGTGATCCTCCTGCCTCAACCTCCCAAGTGCTGGGATTACAGGCGTGTAGCACCACGTCTAGCCTTAAAACTGACTTTTAAATCTCCCCATTCTTGTTTTAGCTATACTTCATTTTTCTAGAATAGATACTTACTGTCACTTTCCTCTGTTTCTTTCCATAAAAACATTTATATGCACCTGTTTTATTAAATGATTGGTTCACATTTCTCTGAAAATGTAGACTTTCTTGGGGAGAGAGAGTCTTGCTATGTAGTCCAGACTGACCTTGAACTCACAATGTAGCCCAGGATAGCCTCCAACTCCGGAGACCCTCCTTGCTCAGCTGCCAAGTGCTGGAATTCCGCATGTGCTACCACACCAGGCTTGCTTGTTTTCATCCTTTACTGTTTTTAAAGGATGCAAAAGTACGGCCTTACTTGGTGAGGTTTTTAGGTCCTGTCCCACCCTACCCTCACCATCTTCTCTTTTGCCTTGCTACTTTATTTGGAGTGTAATGGTAGCAGTTTCTCCTCCCCACGGCTTGGCTGTGTAAGTCCTGGGAGGACTTACTTCTTTCTCTTGTTAACAGCAGGGGACTGAAGCCAGAGCCGCACACGTTTGCAGCAAGTGCTCTAGCGCTTAGCTGTAACTCCAGCCCCTGTTGTTCTGTGGCTCTCGTTACTTGTGGGAGTTCAGCCTTACAGGGTGTGCTTGCGTTGCTGGTGTGCTCACGTATGTACCGATCTTTCCACACCAGCTGCTTTTCTTAGAGACTTCCAGTCTTGTTAATGATTTCTCTCACAAAATCCTTTCAGTATTTGTTACCTTCCCTTCCTGTTCTATAGAACAGTTGAGTTTCCTATCTAGGTATCTATATTACACAGGTCTTAATGATACTTAATGGTCTGCCTCTATTGATCCCTGTTTTGGTGTTCTTCGATATACGTAGCCACTAAATTCTTCGCTGTTGGGGATTGAATCCAGGGCTTCATAGTGCTAAGCATGTGCTTTCTTACTAAACTACAACCCGACCCCAGCCACTTAATTTTGTGGCAGATATTGTCTGCGGGCAGTTTTTTGTTCTGCCAGTTCTGCCCTGGTTGCTCTCCTTTTTATGGAATGATTCATGAATACTGAACAAGTTAAGCCAGCACAACCATATAGGGGATTGAACACAGAGCCTTTGCACAGAGCTACATCTTCAGTCCCCTTTTTTTATTTTTTTGAGACAGAATCTGGCTAAATTGGCCAGATTAGGCTCAAACTTGCCATTCTCTTGCCTTAGCTTCCCATAGTGATGGGATTACAGGTGTGTCTCACCATGCCCTGCTGGTTGTATCCACTTTTTAGGTACCATAGGGAAAATATTATCTTTTTTTCTTCCTTCTTCCTACCCTAAAGTTATTTAGGGTAATACAGTTTTGGGAGATGGGAGCTGAAAGTAATTGACACACTGTTTTTACATTTATACAGATACTTCATTCTTAATTTTTTTTTTTTTTTTTTGGTACCAGGAATCAAACTCAGGACCGTGCTCTTGCCAGGCAGACGCTTGTGCTGCTAAGCTATATCCCCAGCCCTTTGTATTTTAAAATAGGGAAAATGTGTTGTCCAGGTTATGCTCAAACTTGGGATCTTCCTACGTTGGTTCTCCAGAATGATGCTGTTACTGGCATGTGCTGCCATACCTGGCTGGAAGATACATTTTCAAAGAAAATATTTAAGATTCTATGACATATTTCATTTGGGGAAATAAGATTTGTGTATAGTTTATTCTGTATGTAACTGCAGTGTAATAGCAAGTTCAGTCAAGAACATTCTAGAGTTTTAAGTCTTAAGCCAGGTGTAGTGGCTCCTACCTGTAATCCCAGCGCATGGAGGAGGATGAGACAGGAGGATTGCTGGTGTGAGCAAGGTTTGGGCAATTTAGCAACTTAGTATTGAGACTGTCTTAGAACAGTGAAAGGACTGGAGAATTAGTTCAGTGCACAGGCCCTGCATTCAATCCCCAGAAGTGGCTGGGGTTGTCTTTGGATTGATAACTGCTGATTTTGGCCAGGGTGCTATTTTGGGCTTTTTTTTTTTTTTTTTTTTTTTTTTTTGGTCTTTTTAAGACAGGGTTTCACTATGCAGTTCATGCTGGCCTTGAGCTCATTTTGTAGTCCAGGCTGATCTCAAACTCACAATGATCCTCCTGCCTCAGCCTCCCATGGGGCATTTTGTTTTTGTTTTTGGTTTTTTTTTTCCCATACTGGGAATCAAACTCATGACCTTGCACTTGCCAGGCAGGTGCTGTGCCACTGAGCTAAATCCCCAGCCCTCCCCTCCGCCCCACCCCCGCAGGGGGAGGGAATTTTGAAGTTGCAGTAATTTGCAGCCTATTGTGTGGAGGTGATTATGTAAGTTCCTGCTGCACTCTGAGACTCCAGGGCACTGTGTATTGCTGTTTTTCTGCTTTTTAAACCTGACCTATAGTATCTGCAAATCAGATATCTAGGAGTACACAGTTTCAATTCAGGTAATTTTAAGAAGTTGAATCTACATTAAAAATTACTGGACTTCATTTTTACTCCTTTTTAAAATATATAAAATTATATTAATGAGTGTTTTACCCTTCATTGTATTTTCTAGAAACTGTCTTTAAATACTGACATATTTGAGACAAACTCTGATAGTGATCAGCAAAGTGAGACAAAAGAAGATACTTCCCCAAGGAAGAAAAAGAAAAAATTAAGGCAGAAAGAAGAGAAAAGCCCAGATGATCTGAGAAAAAGAAAAGGAAAGACTGGGAAACTGAAAGATAAGTCCAGATCAGAGCTGGACAGCTCCTCTGAAAGTTTGGTTTTTGATTTAAGGACCAAGAAAAGAATTTTAGAAGCCAAAGAAGAATTAAAGGATGCCAAGAAGCCCAAAAAGGATGAAATAAAAGAAACTAAGGAATTAAAGAAAGTTAAAAAGGCTGAAGTAAGAGACACAAAGACTAAAATAAGAGAAGATCCCAAAGAAAACAGAAAAACAAGAAAAGAGAAATATATTGAATCTCAGCTGGAGTTTGAGTCAGGTGTACATGATTCCCCTCTTCAGGAAGATGATAGTGAAGACTTACATTCTGACAGCAGAGAAGAGAAACAAAAAATTAACAGCCCAAAAGATAAAACAGGTGAAGACGGAGTGCAAGAGAAGCTTCCTGACAAACAGCTGGATGCCACTGGCAGTGCTGATGAAGATGCTGATGGCAAGACCAAGAGGCGGAAGAAGAAGCTGAGGAAGAGTGAGGAGCCAAAAGAGGGCACGAAGCTCGTAAACAGTACCTTTTCAGAGAAGAGGACTCTGCCTAAAAAGCCGAAGAGTCAAGACAGAGGCCGGACTAACACGGAGCTAGATAAGCTGTTGCCACTGGCATCTGTCCAGACGCAGAGGAGTCCCAGGGCAGCAGGGGAAGAGCAAGGCCTGCGGTCATCGGACTCAGCTGAGGAGGTAAGGGCAGCTGGGGAAACTTGGAGAGTGCAGAATACGCGTGTAGCCTAGCCCTGGACCGGTGAGAAGGACGTGGCGGGCGGGCGGGGC